CTGAAACTGCTGGTCTCCAAAAACCAGTTAACAGTTTATCTTAGGGAAATAGGAGTGACTTTTATTTTTGCTAATATGCATTTTCTGATTTCTTTAAAAAACAAGTTTTCATCAGTAGTGTCATAGATACAAAGATACTTTTTCCAATTTTTTGGTATGGAAAATTTCAAGTATATACAAAGTATATAGACATAGCATAATTAAACCCCATGTACATAGCAATTGCACGCTGGGTTTCAAGAAGACTGCAATAACCGTATTAAGCCATTGTTCAACTTATGATTTCCCAAAACTTATTTGATCACAGAACCTTATTTTATTCCATAGAAAGCACTTTGGGAATATAGTGATATATACAAACCACTTGATAATGATTATATTCAAAAATAAAATTATTAGAATTTAATTTTGAAAAGAGGCATTCCATGTAATAGGAGTCATTACTTAATTGAGTTATTAATTTCTTAAATGTCTGGGAAGTATACCAAATTTCTAAGATTTATCATATTATTATTAATTATACTTACTGCTGTTTCTCTTAAGGGCACCAGCTTAATCTGATACACTTAGAAAGGTTGGAAAATTGAAACAGTATTAGCTTCAACACACTTTTGCCTTCTCTCTTTCTCTCCATCCCCCACACAAATTATAGCTTTAATCTTACATGCTTTAAATATTTTTCCATCAAAACCTTGGAACTGATTAGCTCATTCATTTTATAGAAAACTTACACCACATAACCTAAATGGCAAAATTATTCCTCATTGTCATTCCCATCAGCCAAGTGAGACTTAATTTCTATTAACAAGAGATTGGCATTTGTTATTTGGCTATACCCTGATACAAAATATAAAGTTTTAAAAATAAAAAGAGATGAGCTTTCAAAAAATCTTTCAGCTGCATTACATGGCATTCAGGGATCCCCAATCAGGGATCAAACTCGTACTCCCTGCAATGGCAGCCTAGAGTCTTAACCACTGGACCACCAGGGAAGTCCTGAGACTGGCTTTTAAAACATGTTTGTAAGAATGATAATATATATTTCTGGGACATGTTTATTTCCAAGTTGCAACTCCAAGACTAACAGATAAGGCAGAGCCTCACCATGAAATGAAGGCTGGAGTGAAATAAGACACCGTCACTTTCAGTAGCCCTTACTGACCTCTTTGCTTTACCCAGAGAGACTTTTCTTCAGGGAAGACCACAGTCTGAGATTGAAGAGATGTGCGTGGTCATGTGGAATGTCGTCACTCTGACGGCCTCTTTTACAAGATGTTGGAAGTGAGGACCTCCCAGTGTAGGCGCACCTTGCTTCCACCACCGTGACCATCTACGTGTAGGACCCCGCAGCACACACAATACCCACGGGATCCTGGTGCCCAGATGCCGTGTTTCTAGCTGTCCCTTTGCCCTGCCTATAGGTTTTTCCAGCCCAGAGCAGCGTATCACAATAATAATCAGGCTGGGTTGGACTGAGGCATGCATTTCTTCTGCAAAATGGGAGGAAGGCAATTTGAAAGGGTAAGCGGGAAGGGACTGGCCTAACACTGACACTCACAGGTGCATCTCAGGGCAGATCCGTTTGGGGAAAGAGTACGCATTGAATCTGGAAACAAATTCCTTAAAATTCCAGAGCCCAGGAACCCCTTGGAAAATCTTCCAGGAGAACGCATACCCCAGTCAGAAGTATTATATTATTAATTCACAATCGCATCTCAAAATTTCTCAAGAGAAAGAGCCATTGTTCTCACTTTTCTTAACCCGACATTATGACTTTTTTTTAAAAAAAGAGCAGCATCTCTGAGTTTTTTAAAAGATAATTTATTATTAAATGAAGTCATAAAGCAAAATGGAGGGGGACAGATGTCAAACATAAATTTAAAATGTCGTTTTCATCAAATACTATTCCTAAGGTTAGAAACAGGAAACGTATCAAATGAAGAGGTACTTAATCTTTTTCAAATGTCTGTGATTTCAAAAGAAAACCTTTCTCTGAATATATAAATCCTTATTACACAAAAGATTAAATTTAAAAGTCTGAGAAAAGAGACTTTTTAACTCATAAGTAAACGGTATTTCCCAGACACCCTTCGGAATGTTTGTTTTTAATCAGTGGGTTTTAAAAATCATTGCTTCCACCTTGAGAACTAGTATGAATCCACCACTGATCGACGACATTCAATCTACATCTTCACCTGCTTCCTTTTCTGCAACTTTCAGCAAAGCAGATTTGGAGAAAAAGAAAGGATTCGAGAAAATTGCAGTTGGGTCCCTGGTGGATAACAAGATCAAAATCTGCTTTTCCATTCACATGACACATCCACAGGCACTCACTTCTACTTACTTTACTGACATATTTCATATCAAAAAATCTCATATGTGCATCTCAACACAGGGCCGCGTTCAAAGACGATGTTCCCTCCCACTGGTCTTTCCAGTCGTGCTGCCCATGACATTATCCTGAGCTCATCATGTGTCTCCATTGGGCCAGAGCAAAACCTTTGGAATTTTCTTTCTCTTTGTTTTAGTTGCTAACTCATGTCAGGTTCTTTTGCAACTGTACCCTGCCAGGCTCCTTTGTCAGTGGGATTTCCCAGGCAAGAATACTGAGGTGGGTTGCCATTTCCTTCTCCAAGGGATCTTCCTGAGCCAGGCTGAATTCACATCTCCTACACTGGCAGGCAGATTCTTTACCACCGAGCCACCAAGGAAGCCATCAGAATTCTCTTACCATAGTTTAAAACTTATATTTATCACTTGTCTTAAATGACAGGCTTATGAAATCAGAGAGAAAAACCCACTTTTACCCATAAATGCTGCGTCATTCTTCCAAAAGCAGGAGGCATTTGCTGCTCTGCATGATGACAGGAGACTATGGGGTGCCCCCCAAGGGACCCCTGCTGAGCTTCATGCTGGCAAACTTGGGACCATGGAGCTGACTGTACGCTCCACGGAAGGGATGCTTCTAATCAGGCGCACAGTGGACATACTGCTATCAAATTTGAGAAAGACTGCAGACCATTTGACCCTCTAGGCCTCTGATGACTTCAAATGACAGTGATTATCGTCACACCTGCTCTCGTCTGAACAGAAGTCCCGCTGTGGCTCCAGGGTACCCACCGAGCCCTCAATTCCGCTTTCAGGACAGATGGAAGCCATCAGCACAAACCTGGAGATACAGCGGGAGTGCGGGCTTCCAGGACTCTGCAAGCACCTGACATCGTCTGAATGCAAAGGAAATACCCACGCTTTTGTTCTCTCCAATATCAGATGAGCAAAAGCCATCTGCCGCCGTCTTTACTCAAAATCCACAGGGAACGGCAGCAGGAAGAAGTCAGGGCCTGGTGAGGCAGGGCGGGGTGGGGTGTGAAGCAGGGCAGACAAGAGGCTGAAGGCCAGAGGCAGCCTGGCCTCCGCGCCCTCCTGGTCTGACCCAGCCTGTGTCCCTACTTCTGTGGGGCCCTATCATCTAAATTCACAGTTTCTTCCATTCACACTCAAGGCCATGACTGTCACATTAAAAGGAACGCTTGAACGTGTACAGTCATCACGGCTCCCGGGCTTTGGAGTTTGACTTGTAACATCACTCCCGATGCTCAGTTCACCTTTACTTCACTTGGGCTGGGGGCAGGGGGGCAGATTTCCTTGCTTTTTCGCTTAGAGCTCAGGCACCAGCAAAATTCCTCTGCAATACTGACCCAAGGTCACTGGAAAGGATACGCACCCTGATGAACCAGATCATTAGAAACATCTATGTCCACCTCCTCCCAGGGGGATCAAGTCTGAGGCATGGCTGTTGGCTCCCACTGTGAGTAAAGACCCCCTCTTGGACTCCCCCAAAAATGTTTTCCCTAAGCATTCTCTCAAAATGCCATTTCTCTCCAAAGGGGCCTCTGCTGTTTTTGCCTTGTGAAAAAATTAGGAAAGTATTTGGAAATCCCAAAACACATATCAGGAAGAGTTAAACAAGCTTGTGAAGACATCATTGTTGTTTAGCTGCTAAGTTGTGTCCGACTCTTTTGTGACCCCATGGACTGCAGCCCATCAGTCCTCTGTCCATGGGATTTCCCAGGCAAGAATTGTGGAGTAGGTTGCCATTTCCTTCTCCAAGGGTCTTCCTGACCCAGGGATCAAACCTGAGTCTTCTACATTGGCAGGTGGATTCTTTACCACTGAACCACCAGGGAAGCCCCAGAGAAGACACTGTCAGATGCCAAAGGTTCAAGGCACTTTGCTTGGAACCAAGCTTGGAACCCACAGTGGAAGGAACTGGAACCAACCTGTTGCCCCCAAACTCAGCCACCAGTTGACCTGACCCCACTGTAGAGGCAAGAATAGGATGAACCTTTTCTTTCCTTCTTTCTTTCTTTTTTGAAAGGCATCTTATATTGTGGTTTTGGGGTTTTCTTCCATATCACAAAAAAGATTTAGAGAATTCCAAAGAGTTTTAGTTAACAGGAAATACAAATAGAAATTAAAAAAAAAAAAAAACAGAATGGAATTCAACTCTCCACAGATTGAACCCATATGGGTGTCACATCTCACTGAATTAGCACCACTTTTGTATCAGGGAAGACACCCGGGGCTGAAATTTCTTCAAACTCACTTTTTCCATCTCAGGGAGATTTTTCCATGCTCTTCCTCAAACAAACTGACCAATGGAGGAAGCGCTCCCCCTCCTCCCTATATCAAAGTGTGGGGCATTTTCCTTTCACTCTAAGCCATTCTTTGATTTTCTCATCAAACTGATACTTCGGGGAAGCTATGTAGCAGCAAACTAGGAAATACACTCCCTTTAAACACAGTTGGAAAAAAAACTGTAAAAACCGAATTCACTGGATAATTAGAAGCTATTGTGACATTTTCTTTTCTTCCCCAGACTGGGCTTAGAGGTATCTCTGGGTTAGACTGTTCTGGGGCTAGAAGGACACGCGAGGGCAGCCTGGCCCAACCAGACCTGCCCAGGGAAGCGGGGCCGGCCCCCCTGGAGCCCGCCCCAGTCAGTTCTCCTCCAACAGGTAATCACCGCCCGCGAACTCCGTGGCTTCGAGCTCCACACTGGACAGGAACCTCCTCAGTGTCTTGCGGCAGTTGTAATCCAGGGTGGTGGTGTAGACGGTCTTGGGGTACTTGGGGTAGACGATGGTGGTGCTGAGGAAGCGGGTGGGTTTGTGGCGGGGCTCGAAGCGCACCTCCGCCTTGTAGTTGCGCCACGTGCAACTGGGAATGCAGGTGATGGTCTGGCTGCAGGAGGCCACCGCCAGGCCCAGGGGCAGCTGGACGTCGTCAATGAAGTGCCGCTCTGAGTCATACCTGACCGAGGACGTGTACCTGGGCGGGAGACACAAGGCCGCGCGTGAAGCCGCTCCTCGGAGCTGGGGGCACGGGGCTCCCTACTGTGATCTCAGACCCTGAGATGGGGTGACTCTGGGGAGAAGCCACATGGAGTTTATGATGTGCTTACCTTGTGGTCCTTTCTGTTCTAAGCATTTTAATTCCAGGATGTAATTAACCTTCCCAACAACACCGGGAGAAGGAATCGGGGGTGGAGAGGTTAAGGTCACAGTGAGAGGGAGCCATGGAGCTGGGGTCTCCATGCAGGTATGCAGGATTCCCAAGTTCACCTGCATTTCTCTTCCCCACCGAATGGAGTTGGCTCCCACTGACTTAAATTTTCAGACTTTGGCCAAATTACTTCCAAGCCTCAGTTTCCTCTTTTATATATATATATATATATATATATATATATATATATATATATATTATTGGGTATTATTTGCAGCTGCACTGGGTCTTAAATGCAACTTGTGGGATCTTAGTTCCCCAACCAGGGGTCAAACCTACACTCCTTGCACTGGAAGCATGGAGTCTTAACACCAAGAAAATCCTTCCTTTCTGAAAAAGGTGCCCAGCATAAGGGGGAAGAGTGTTTAAACAGCAACTGCTATTGATGGGAATGATTATATAACAAGGCAGATTCTCCTGTCCACAAGGGGTGAGTCATTTCTTTGTCTCCTGAATGAAAAATCATCTCTTTAATGAGAGGAGAAGGGAACCCAGACATCCTGAATGCTGGCTCTGAAAGCTCTCTGATAACCAAATTCTGGTACTGGGGCCACCTCTGCCTTCAATTTGGAGACCCCTCAAGCTCAGGGAACTGAGACCTGACCTTATCATCAAAGCCAATTAACACTCTTGATTTCCATAAAATAATTAACATCCACATTCCTCAGCAGCTACTTTATAATTATTTGTTAAGTCCTTCTTGGGCAATTTGGGAGGCTTTTTTTGGAAGCAAAGCATGAATTCATTTGACTTCCTAATTTTTGCGTCTTCGCAGTTACTGAAACATGTACAAGCATCAGACATAGGCACAGAGAACGCACTGCCCCTCACCATCCCCTACCCACTGGTCAGGGAGTGAGAATCAGCAGTCTTTTCAAAATGAGTCTGACGGGAACATCTCTTCTCCTTTGGCAAGTAGGTTAAAGGGCTGGGGAAGCTCATGTCATGAAGTCATGTCCCCATTTGGTTCAAAATACAAGCTCTCCAGGATTAAAAGGCTGAACCGCTCACCTCCAAACTGCTAAGCCGCCTTTGTCCTGTGTCAAAGGGCTCTTTGTGTTCATGCAATGAAACTCCAGCTATAAAACCACTAGTTACCCAAAGTAAAATTCCTTTCTCTAAAAAGATGTCTTTTAATGGGGCCTTTCAAAGGCTCTCTGACCCCAGATGAGCCTGGGTAAGATAAATTCCCCGAGGAAGAACAGTACTTGCCCAGTGAAATCAGAACCTGAGACAAGGTAATAGCACCTTGACGCTGGGGTGGGGTGGGGGTAAGATGTGGAAAGCAGCTTCTAGAAAGAGGAATTCAGTTCAGTTGCTCAGTTGTGTCCAACTCTTTGTGACGCCATGAACCATAGCACGCCAGGCCTCCCTGTCCATCACCAACTCCTGGAGTTTACCCAAACTCATGTCCATTGAGTCAGTGATGCCAGAAAGAGGAATTACTTTATTACAAATGCTTAAACATCTGACGGCCATGATAAGTGAAGCATAAAAAGCAAGTTGCAGTATAACACAATCTCATTTTCATTTAAATAGGTGTATCTACATTCAAAAGGTTAGAATACAGAAAGAACACCCCAAAGAGAACCCACCAAACTGTAAGAGTTTAGCGCACTTCTGTCATTGACTATTTTTTAAAAAAAATAAGAAGCATTAATTACTGGAATCAAAAATAGAAGTGAAATGAAATCAGTGCTCACTGTATTTACCTTACTTCTGTTGGTGGTAAGGGGTCAAGCTCCACTCCTTCGCCAAAGGACAGGGGGCATAACCTTGGTGAGCATCCGGAGCCCAAGGGGTTGGGGAGAGAAGCTGGATTCTGCAACGATGGGGAATGCAGTCAGACCACAGGCCCATCTGATGCTTTCCCCACAGAATTCCTGGTTCTAGCCTCCCACTGACGGGCCCAGCTGTGATTCTGTGGCCCCCACTGGGAAATGATGCCAGAGAAGGACTGATCCACAGCAGCAGAAGAGCATGGACAGGTGTGTTCAAATCTCGGGTCTACCATGAAGGTGCTGGGTGCCCTCAACAGAGTCACAGCATATGCCCCGTGACCTTCTCTGCACACCCGGAGTGGGGGTGGTGTCCCCTTCCACTGATGAGGTTTCGTGGAAGGATGAATAGAGGAAGCAAATCTGAGCTCAGCATTGTGACCGCGACCAGTCCCCAGGCCTACCGCATCATCCCACAGAAAGAAAACCGCCATGAACTGTGGCTTTGCTAACCAGAACCTTCAATTACGCACCCCCAGCCCTATCACTGTCTCAGCAACTCTTCAGAAAAGGCCAAAACCAACAAAAAGAAATGCTACCAGGGATTTTTTTTTTTTGACACTGAAGATTCAGTCCAACATCCCCCACGTCCTCTGCCTCTGGGGCCATCAGATCGACACCCAGCCAAGATGGAGGAATCTGCAAACTCACTGGAAAAGCAGACACCAGAAAGTTCTCTATGGCACCTTCCACTGTCCAGAAAACTCCAAGAACCAGAGCACGGCATCCCAGGGGTTCACCCTCTTGCAGGCTGGTCAAGGCATCAGGCTTTCTGATTCGCCAAATAGCCTGAGTCAGAGATAGGGCCATCCTCCACGGAGGTGCTCGCTTTTCTTCGCCTGCTCTGACTTGAGTCAGGGCTTCTATGTTAAGCCAGCCAAAGGCAGCAGCCCTCCTGGGATAACTGAGAACTGTCATTTTCTTTGCTTGATTTGAGAGAACTACACTTGGGCCAGGACATGGTGATGGCAGCCCCACCCCTAGGGCTTCCAGGAAGCAGACATTTCTAGAAGGCTGACTTTAAGACTCATAGGTTACCAGGACAAGGTGTCAAGTAGGTGGCATAAGGTGGACATACAAAAGCCAAAGGGGACCAGGTAGGTCAGGGAGAGGTGGGGGTCCCCAGGGTCCAGCCCTGAACTCAGGGTGGGTCGGGGAGGAGTTTAATAAGCCCTCACTGGGGCTTGAGAACTCAGGTCCGAGCGTCTGGGAGGGGGTGGGCACTGGCTGCAGCAGAGCTTCAGGAAGCAGCCCCCAGCAGTGACAGGGGTGTCTGCTCTGCCCACAGACACTCCCCAACCTAGGGGTGCCTTCCCAGCAGTCCTGGGGGCTGCAGGACGACACAGCCACCAAGAGGAGGCAGGCGACTCTCAACACTCACACGGCAGCCTTCTTCCAGGTGTCCACACAGACACTGGTCCTCCTGCCCTGACTCCTCGCCTCCTCATGCCTGCTGCCAGCACTCTCTGAGCACACGCGTGCCCCAGTGCAGGCTGGGAGTGGGGTGGGGCAGCAGTAGTCAGACTCCTGAACCAGGTACCCAACAGGGGAAAGGGATGAAGTCACAGTCCCTGGCATGGCTCTGGGAGACATCCAGGAAGACTTCCCAGAGGAGGTGACAAGGTGGGTCCCAAAGGGCAGCCGGCAGGGGTTTGATGGAGTGGGTGTTGGAGAGGTAGAAGGGGAGATGCATGCCAGAGGGAGGGAGCAGCCTCAGGGGCACAGGTGTGTCTATCTGCCTGCGTTCAGGGGATGTGGAAGATGAGGCTATAAAGGGCCAGGCGGCCAGGGTTCTGAAGGCCAAGATGGAGCCAGTGCTGCCTTCTAATGTAAACGAGAGAACACAGTGATGTTCATGGAGAGACAGGATCAAGAATTCCACGCACCAAAGCGGGTGGGTCCCTAAGAAGCAGCAGCTGAACTGACTATAGTCAGTAGCAATTGACTACTTCACACAGGGGAGAGGACTGCAAACATTCATCCCCAAGGCAGAGGGGCCGGCTCAGAGCTCTGAGCTTGACTGTAGGCAGGATGCGGGTCCCTTGAACTCTAGGTAAAGGCAATAAACACCACCATCTGAGTGATTCCTAAGGTACTTGCATTTCTCTTTAAATAAAAGTTTTAAAGTAAAGTAAAAGGACTCATCCTTGGAAGTTTCCACCCACCTAAAGGCCTCCCACCCATCATGCGCCAGATACAGGTTAGGTGATGGGCCAAGAGGGGCCACTGATCTCAAAAGGTCCTCTCCAAGGCTGCTAACAGTGCCCTAAAGCTGGCCCTCTTTGCCCAGTGAATCCGGGAGTGGAGCAGATCGCTCTTCCCAAGACCTACGGGGAGCGGGAAAGGTCCGTCGGAACCACCGAGGGCGGGGGCAAAGCCCGGAGAAGCCTGGGGTTCCCTCTCCGTGTCCCGGGACCCTCTGGCCCGGCCAGGTCAGGATGTGGTCAAGCCGCAGCCTGACAGCCCCGGGGGCCGCCACCCCGAAGGGAGGAGACGGCGGCCCGCCTCTCCCGGGGCTCCCGCGCCTCCCAGGCGATGACAATTTTCCAGCCACCGGCTCCAGCTGGCCAGGCTCTCGCCGCGCTCCCGCCCCGGGCTCCCGGCGCTGGCCACGCCGTCCCGACGGGCGGGCGGCGGCGCCCACATCGCGCCCCGGGAGGGCGGGCAGACCGCCTGGGGGTCCGGCACGGGGTGGGGGGATAGAGAGGATGGGGGGAGCGGGCCGGGGCGGGGTCACTTACCGGGGCCGCGCGGGTGGCCGCTGCGTCTGGCTCCAGCGCCCCCGGGGCCGGCGTGCGCTCCCCGCCGCCGCCCCCGGCCGCCGCGAGCGCCCAGTGGCTGGGGCTGGGGCTGGGGGGCAGCCCCGAGTCCGGACTGTCCAGGACGCCGTCGCCCTTCTTCTTCGTGTCCACGAGCTCGGGCACATCCTGCAGGCTCAGCCGGCCCACCATGGCGGTGCGCGCGGCGGGGCCGGGGCCGCTGCCCGCCGGCCGCCCTCCCTGCCAGCCGCCCGCGCGCCGTCCGGGTCCGCCGGCCGCCGCGCTCCCGGGCCCGCCCCCCGCCCCGCCCCTCCCGGGCCCGCCCCGCCTGCGGTGGCGGAGCCGCTAGGCCGGGCGCCAGGGGCCGCTGCGCTCCTGCCGTGCACCGCCCGCGCTGCCCTCCGCCTGGCCGTTCAGCCCGCCGCGAGCGGCCGATCCTAGGATCCGGGGGCGCCGGCCCGGGACCCCCGCCCCACCCGGCCGTGTGCCCCGCTGCAGGCGGACACGAGACCCGGCTCGCACCGGGCCCGGGGGCGCCTTGTCCCCTTGGCCTGGGCCAGCCGGGCCGGCGGACGCTAGAATCTCAAGCCCTAGGCGTCGAGGGGGAGGCAGAGGAGCGCTCCGGCTCGCAGAGGACTGGGGAGCCGGCCGAATCTAGCGAGCAAACAACTGGAAATTATTAATAGTTAATGCGCTTCGTATGGTTCCAGACGCCTCATGGCTCAGCCGGGCGGCCTCTCAGGCTGTCTCTGGCTCTCATTTCTGCCCCGGGGGGAAAAGAGCGCCTACTCCGTTTATCCTCAAGGGGACTCGGGGTGGGCGGGGGAACGCATCACGCCCCGGCCTGGGTGCTCAGCGTAACAGGTCGTGGCCACAACGGGCAGGGAAATTCAGCGTGGGTGCAAAGTGGCCCTAGAACCAGATGAGAGGCTCAGCCGGCTCTCCATCAGCTGTCTGAAGGGCTCCCTCCATGGGACGGGGCGGGGCGGGGGATGGTGGTGGTCACAGCTCTTCAGACGGGTTACTTGTCCTTCCTCCTTAGATTGACAGAGAAGCCCTACCTGAGTGGGAACTCATTGCAACAAATGCCCAACTGTAGAACTAGGCTGTTCTCATATCTAAAAGCACTAGAAAAAAAAAACTAAAAGCACTAGAAAATTCGAGTACTGTTTCTCACAGAGACCACCCTGATTATTGGTAAGTACAGGAAGTACCCCACCACCACCACCACCACCAGCCACCCTCCCCTGGGGGTTTTTGATGGGTGCTCCACTAGGGCCTCAAGCTGGAGCTGTGACCAGACCTAGCTGGCAGGGGCCAGCTCTAAAGAGGAGCAATGCCCTGGGCTAGGGACTTCCCTGGCTCCATGAGAGGTGGGCGCCGTGCACAGCTCTCCATGGCAGCTCAGTCTGTGTCCTTGCAAAAGCAGACAGAGGATTCTTGTCCTGCTTGGGATCTGGTGAAGTCCAAGTTCAGAGCAGGCAGATGTTTGTGATCTGCTGGAAATGGTTCAAACCTCCTATTCTCACCCATCACTTTCAGGTCAGGAAACAGAGAAGGAACTTGACTTGTCCCAAGTCACAGAGCTGGTACAAAGCAGCTTGCTGTGACCAGGAAGCCCAGGAGCAGCCCTTCCGCAGAGAACAAAACCTGGTGCATGCCTGAGTGCTCGGAGGTTGCTCTTGTAGGACCTGTGGGAATAGATTACAAAATCAAGGGTCAACGGTTTGTGCCAGGATATACTGTAAGCAGTGGGTCTTAGAGGTTGGGCCAACTGTGTGGCTACGCTTCTCTACCCCTGTTGACCTCACCGTCTGCATATCCCAGGCTGCCGCCCAACCTGGGGCATCACAGGAGGAATCTAAGAGCTTCCCGGGGGATGTGGAAAGGTGGGTGGTCTGCTGGAGTGGGAGGATTAGCACCCTAGAGGGAGTTTGTCCACCAGTGTGCCCAGGTATTAATAGATCCTGAGAACGCTTCCCTAAATCTGACCAGGTGGGAGAAAGTGTCCAGAAAGATGGCAACTGTTCCAAGTCGGTGGTGGCCTTCAAGGTCATCAGTGTGGAAGAAGAGGATGAGACTGAGCAAGGTCGGCGTGCTCAGCCAATGTAGCCTGTGACTCCATCAAAGCCTGAATCGTTGTGGGTTGTCTTGGGAGGGATCTCAACCTGGACCTACTAAAACCTGGAGTCTAGGGGAAGCCCCACATCACGACCTTCAGAGCAGAATTGTGAAGGGCTTAGATTATTCACATTCTGACAATGATCCAGAGACATCAAAGATGCCAAAATGAGGAAGGGAATGTGAAGTTGTGAGCTTCAGAGTGTCCTGGCAGATCAAGGAGACACACTGGAGGCAACCCTTCTTCCTTGGCATTTGAGTCATCAAGCAGCTGGCCCAGGACTTCACATGGGCATCTCGGCCATCGGGCTGGACCCAGGAAGCATCTATGTCTTATGTTCCAGCCTAGGAGAGTTCTGTCTGATCCCCAAGACAAGCTCTCCCCAACTGCAGGGGGGCATCTTGGCTTTCAGAGAGATCAGGACATCCTCAGCCTTCAGGACACTTGCCAAGATACTCCCAAAGTGTAAGATGATTGCATACCCTGGACTCCTTTCCTATAGAGGAGCTCAGCACTGATGCACACACAGGAAACCAGAAGGGCTTGAAGAGGAATTCGGCCTGCAGACCTGACGCTGATGGAGAAACAGAGGTGGAGCTCTGGTCCCGTTACAGATTCCCCTGGACCACTCAGGTGCCCATCCCCCAGTAAGGTCCACCAAAGTCTTCCCCTCCATGGCTCCCAGAACCCTGTTGAACCAATTAAAAGACAGCTGGGCCCCCGGGTTTGTCCTCCCCTGTCCAGACTGTCTTCTGAGAGCTCAAAGATAAGCTGGATCTGGCTGAAAGCTGCTTGGGCACAGAGGAGAACGTGGAGGACACGAGCCTGGCTGGGCCCAGGCATCCTGGCTGTACCCTCCTCTGTGTGAACTCACAGCAATCCTGGTGGATGAGCAGAGCGGGTCTTACAACAGGAACCATCCGAGTCCAACCTGCCCATGAGTCCCCCTGGGTGGGAGAGAGTCACCTCGTGGGAGCCATGTAGTGCAGACCCTGTAACCTGGCTATGCTTCCTGAGCCATGAGTCCACACTGCAATCTGCTGTAGTCCTCTGGAAGAGCCCCAAGCCCTGGGCTCATCACTGGCCGCCATCTTATGCCAGATTATTTTCCAAAGGCTGTTTCTTAAACAGAACAAAACTCTAATCAACCAGGGGGAAGGGACAGTTAGGCAGTTTGGGATCGACATGTACACACGGCTATATTTTAAATGGATAACTGATGGGGACCTACTGTATAGCACAAGGAACTCTGCTCAATGTTATGTGGCAGCCTGGATGGGAGGGGAATTTGGGGGAGAATCAGTTCAGTTCAGTCACTCAGTTGTGTCTGACTCTTTGTGACCCCGTGGACTGCAGCACACCAGGCTTCCTTGTCCTTCACCAATTCCCAGAGCTTGCTCAAACTCATGTCCATCGAGTCGGTGATGCCATCCAACCATCTCATCCTCTGTTGTCCCCTTCTCCTCTTGCCTTCAATCTTTCCCAGCATCAGGGTCTTTTCCAGTGAGTCAGTTCTTTGCATCAGGTGGCTAAAGTATTGGAGTTTCAGCTTCAGCATCAGTCCTTCCAATGAACATTCAGGACTGATTTCCTTTAGGATGGACTGGTTTGATCTCCATGCAGTCCAAGGGACTCTCAAGAGTCTTTGTCAACACCACAGTTCATGTATATGTATGGCTGAGTCCCTTTTCTGTGCACCGGAAACTATCACAACATTATTAATCAGCCCTATTCTGACATATGATATATAATAAAAAGTTAAAAAAAAAATCTCTAACCAAAGCTTGGGAAAGACAACGGATTCCACTTTTCCCCCTTCTGGTCCAGTTTCAAAGACAGGCCTTCTTTTGAGAAGCATCTGGGCTGCACCTAGAAATCAGGGGTCAGTTTTACAAAATGACAGCATGGACCCTGCTTAAAGAGTGGCCTCTTCTCAAAGCTGTCCTTTCAGAGTGGCCGTCGCCCCCGCCTGGATCACACAGACCGGTGTCCTTGTAGGACTTGGCTCCTGGCCTGGCGCCTCTCCCTGCAGGGTCTGAGGAACAAAGCCAAGTCACAGTGAATGCCAGTTCTGCATTTTCCCTTTTTCTCCACCAAAGTAAGCTAATGCCCGAATGGGAGTTGAGTCAGACAAGAGCGGGACCCCCACAACGGCTGCTGCTTATTGTTTTTGGAACAGCTTGTCTTCAGTAAACCCAGCCAGACAGCAGATTAAAAAACACTGCAGGCTCCAGCATGCTGGCACATGCTTCGGAGCCCAGGCACCTTGCAGGCCCAGCCCCCTGGGTCTCTGGGCTCCAGGATTCACGCTGCAGTGGCTTTGCCTTAGTACTGAACCCGGTCTCCCCTTGCTTTCATATGTACCCATGTCAACCAAAACACTTAAAAAATCAGACTTTATTTTGTTTCCTTAAGTATTTTAAGATTAAGGTTTGGGGGGACCTCCCTGGTGGTCCAGTGGTTAAGACTCCACACTTCCACTTCAGGAGGCATGGATTCGATCCCTGGTCAGGGAAGTTCTGCCTGCAGCCAAAAAAAAAAAAAAAAGAAAGAAAGAAAACTACCAATAATAAAGAACATTAAAAAAAAATTAAGATTACTGGTTTCAGAGAGCATTGACAGGGACCTGCCATACTCAATAAAGAAAGGAACTGAATTAAAAAGATGTACTGACACAACCCAAATCCATAGGCATCTGTACACACACGTTGGTAAGGTCGGTTCATACCTCTGTGCCCCTGGGACTCACAAAGGTGGCCTGAACCAGACAGAGGTCAAGGGTGCCAGAGCTTGGCAACTGCAGAGAGAATTGTGCCTGCGGAAACAGGCTGGCTCCTTTTCTGACCTCTCACCTGTGAGACCACCAGGTCAGGTGGGGAGGTGGTGTCTGACCCAGCCCACGTGGCAATGCTCACCCAGACAACCAAATGCAGCTTGGGGCGGAGTCAGGCCAGTGACCCCTGAGTGGGGGACCTGGGGACCCCAGTCAAATACCAGCTCCACCCTCGAGGCCTCCTATTTGTGAGCTGAGAGCTAGTCTCCCAAATGCTCCCTAGTTACACAGAAAAAG